GGGGTCTGCCCAGGGCCGCCCTGCAGCGGGGTCAGCAGCCCACGGGCTCACTGTCCCGCCCGGCTGTGCCTGAGTCCAGCTTCTGAGCCACAACCCATGGACATCCCCACCCAGGACAGCCCAACCCGGCGGTCCCAAACCAGGGGGTCCTGAACTGGGGCCGTCTCAACCCAAGGGCTCCTGAACCAGGGCATCCCAAAGCAGGGTCATCCGGAACCAGGACCATCCCAACCTGGGGGCTCCCGAACTGGGGCATCCCCAAACTGGAGGCATTCGGGTGTCCAGAAGCTGGAGCATCCCAAACTGGGGGCTCCCAAATCAGGGCCTCTCAAATAAGGAGCTCCTAAATCAGGGCATCCCAACCCAGGGGTGTCCCAAACCAGTGGCTCTGAAGCTGGGGCACCCCAACCTGGGGCACCCTGAACCGGGCAGCGGCAGGCAGGCTCCGGCTCCAAGACGCGAGAGTATTTATTGTACCAGGAGAGTTTTATTCACAGACGCTTTTTGTTTTCTAAAAGGCGACTATTTTGGGGGCGCAGGCGGGTCCCCCCACACCAAGGTCTATGCAATACGCGATTCCTCTAGCCAGCTTTTGTACGCGGGGGCTGCGGCCGCGCCGCCAGTGGTTTCTATTAAAGACACGTGAAAGGAGCCTGGTGCGGTTCTTGGGGTCAGCGTCTGTCCCAGGGGACGCATCCAGTGGGTGGGAAGGGCTTCATATCCCATCAGCAGTGGCCACGGTGCTGTGGCATGTGCTATACCCAGGGTGGTGGGACTCAGCCTGGGCGTGGGGCTGGATCCTTCCCCAGTGTGCTGGCCATGTGCCTGGCAGGAGGTCCTGGGGGTGGTGGCAGCACCGGGAGCACCAGAGTCACAGTACCATGCAGCCATGCCCACCACGGCAGAGGAAGGGGATGACTGGAGAAAGCTGGTGCAGCTGCAGCAGGAGGCAGGGGTGGAGGTGGAGGAGGTGGGATCAAGGAGAAGATGGAGGTGGAGGCATAAGTGGGAGGAAGAGCATGCTGGAGGTGGCCATGGAGATGGAGGTGGGCTGAGGGTGGAGGAGATGGAGCTGGGTGTGGAGGTGGGAGTGGAGGAGATGGAGGAGGTAGGGGTGGATGAGTTGGGATGGAGGAGGAGGAGGATACCAGTGGAGGAGGGAACAGGGTGGAGGTGGTGGACGTAGAAGTGGAGGTGATGGAGGTAGAACTGGAGGAGATGGAAGTAGAGATGGAGGAAGTAGGATTGGGTTGAAGTAGAGGAAGAGGAGATTAAGGTGGAGGAGACCGTCCCTTGCTGGAGGGCTGCTCCAGGCTAAGGCCCTTGATTTGCCACCGCTGGTGCCATGGCTCTGGCCCTGCTTTGCAGCAGGGGACAAATGTGGGTTTGGCACCCAGGTGTCACTCAGGCAATCAGCATCACTGCAGGTTCCCCAGGGCACTGACCATGGGCTGTCACTGGTCACAGGGGATGATTGGCCATGGGATGTCCCTGACCACAGGATATCACCAGCCATGGGGTGGCGTGCATGGGGATGGGGCCAGCTGAGGGGGATGGCCATGCTGCCTGGCGTGTTGCCACCGCTGCCATTGGAGGGTGGTAGGTGCGCTGAGAGGTGCTGTTGGTGGTGGTGGTGGGGGAGTTGATGCCACTTTTGTGCCCCAACCTGAACATCTGAGACCTTCTGGCTCCCTGCAGCTTCCAGAGCACCCAAATGTCCTTGACACACTCATGGAGCAGGTCCCAGAGCTGCTGGTGTCAGAGGGGGCCCTGGGGCTCTGGGTGGCACGGCACACACTGCAGAGCCTCAGCAGCTCCTGCACCCCATGAGCCCCCCCACTGCACCCCGGCCTTGGCTTGGGTGCATTGCACCAGCTTCGGGGTGCTGGGGGAGCAGTGCTGAGCCCAGAGGTTGCACAGGGGCTGTTTGGGAGGGGTGTGTGTGACCCTTTCCAGCTGTGCAACCCTTTTTGGAGTGGGGGAATTCCAATCTGCCCTCCCATGCCAGGCTGGGGGGCGCCACCCCCCCCCCCCCCCCCCCCCC